ATCGTCCGGGTCAATATATGGTATGTTAAAGTCTTGCTTGTCATATGGTTCCTCGTTTAAAGCTTTAAACAATTCCAAAGAAGGTTGCGTAGAAGTGTGAGTTAGGAGAATGACGTTCTCTACCACCTTATAGATACTTGTAACAACTTGAGGGATGCTGAAAAAGTTTGCATCGGAACTCTTAGTTTCTTACTCTGTCCCGATAAACTGATTGCATAATCAATCAATTAGTTGATTCATTCTCGTTTTTGTCTTAAATATGCATTTAGTGTTTACAAATGGACATTGTAATCAATCAAATGAAATATAAAACAGGGGAACTATTTAAAATGAATGATATTTCCACGTTTTAGTAAAACAAATCTTGACATCAATTCAAATAACTCTCCCTGGTAAACTATTCATACTTCTAATGCTTGCAAGGATACGTTTGTCTTACGTCATTGAGACAGCAACACATCAACACAAATGTTTATATAATTGTATTTGAAAATAAGATGTGATATGGTTCGTTTCTGTTACAACAGTCATTGTTGGAATTACAACTTGATTTGTCACCGCTTTAAACTTTTCAGTTAATATAAAAAAGAAGATGTGGGTGGTATGATTGCCAATGAGACAACTCTCCACAATAGACCAAATGACACAGAAATAAACAACTATAGGTCACCGTACGGCCTTCAACAATGAGCAAAGCCCATACCGCACAGTCAGCTATAAAAGGCCCCGAAATAATAATGTAAAACATATCAAACGAGAAAACTAACGGCCTAATTTATGTACAAAAAATGAACGAAAAAACAAATATGTAACACATAAACAAACGACAACCACTGAATTACAGGCTCCTGACTTGGGACAGGCACATACACACAGAATGTGGCGGAGTTAAACATGTTAGCGGGATCCCAACCCTCCCCCTAACCTGGGACAGTGGTATAACAGTACAACATAAGAACGAACTATAAAAATCAGTTGAAAGAGGCTTAACTCATCAGATGGATAAAAATACAAATACTACAAATACAAGTGGACGTGACCGGGTACTTGTACATCCAAACAACAAAAAGACACTAAGTACAGATCTGAGAGTACTCGCAGTTTCTGATAGCTAGTTCAAAGCCATTAACAACTAATAAAAAAATCATGCATCTAAGACTAAATACATTTTGAAGGAAAATAGGCAACCAAAGACTAGCAGCATATGTATATCTAATGGATTAACACGTTTAGATTTGCCTATGTATAATGTAGTAATAAACAAATCTTCTTGATACGACACAACCAGTACAAAGTAATTACCGAACAATGTTGCGTGAAAAAATAATCGTTATATGGCGTCTGTTGTCGGGACAAAGACTGATTGTGCTCGTTGAACGAGTTCCAAAGACCGATTGTGTTCGTTGAAAGAGTTCATCATTTATTTCTATTTCTAGAAAAATGACTTCCAATTTTGCTTATTTCAATTATGTGTCGTTTTTGTCAGGTTATATAGAATTGTTCTACCAAGTCAAATTGTGGGGTCGTCGAAGTCACACTATAAATGTGATTGGTTTTTATTCTTATTTTATTTTAAGAGGTATAAAAGGACAGTCTTGAAGTTAAAAAAATGTATCCATATCAGTTTGTTAATGTATATCTGTTTTCACATGTTTGCCAGAGAGCATTTTGCAACAATAAAATGACGACAAGAAACCGACTATTTAGTTGATGATTATTAATCAATAGAAAAACAAAGAACACGAAATTAAATATCTGTTCCTATGATTTACTTTGCTTTGACACCAACAATGGAATTTCCATCATATTACAAAAATTAAAATTGAATGGAAAAAAAAATATCTGACAGATTCACTTAATTTGATGGTATTGAAGAGTTTATACGCTGACTAAAACTGTATCAAAGACGACAGTACTTAAATTAAAGACTGCATTACAAATTAAGCTTCATGTTAACACGCGATGTCATAACTCAACAACGGTCCTAAGCAAGGCAGTAAAAGTAAATGAGGTTGTTAGTGTAATTAAGTTCCAAGTCACGTGATTCTGTTTCCATTATGTAAAGGAGTGTTTGCTATATATCATAAATTATCTTACCTCCTATAGATTTCTGGGGATATGATTGGTTAAAGGACTACACATGGTGCCTACATATATTTGATATAGGTTGTCCTAAAAAATATGGGGTTAGTTACCATATGGGGTTAGAAAGGAGTTACTTCCCTTTCAAAACAAAAAAGAAATCTGAAAGGTTTAAACAGACGAAGAAATTGATAATGAACGATTGAAATAAATTCATAAAACAAATTTAAAACTAACAAGTTGTTATTGTTGGCATTTGTTTTTTGTATAGACAAATGGAAGTAGGTTCTTAATACTAAGTATTGAAGACTTAATCACTTTGATAGGTCGCTATAGTCTAAATACCAAATGTGAAGATAGTCGGCAAGATAAATTTGTTACACTGTGTGCTAGTGACCTAATACGATATATATGGGGTCAGTAAATTCCATATATATCGTATAAGGTCACTGTAACTAATAATATACTTGGTAACAAGAGTACATGCATGTGTATTAAATTTCAATCTTCTTCACTTATTTAAAAAGCACTATTCAAGATTACATGCTTCTTGAAGAGTACAAATAGGCTTTACAAATATAACAGTTCACTGAATTTCTTTTCTCAGAGTTTTGTTTCTCTCGGTTTGAATACACTTCTATGTATTTATTGTTGTTATGTCAGGAAAGCAAGAGATATAAAACAGTCGTTATACAATGTTCACGTTTTCAAGTATTGACTACATTATATAAGTGTCAAACACGTATCATACCCTTGTTACCTTTAATGGAGCGACTGTTAATAATAAAAGTTGACTGGATTTAAGTTTTATGATATAAAGAAATTACAGAAATTAGTACAGAACATCATTACTTGTTTCATAAGGTGGTTGAATGACAATTTACATTTATTATACTTCACGTAAAAATGCCATATTTTGATTGGCTAATACGAGGGTGTTAATTTACTCTATCACATGGCTGAGCGGGTGACAATTTTTTTGAATGTCACCCTCTCGTCCAGACCAATCAAAAATCGATAATTTAAAGGACAATGAATAGAAATTACATCAAGTTATTATGTGCTAGTGACCTAATACGATATATATGGGGTCAGTAAATTCCATATATATCGTATAAGGTCACTGTAACTAATAATATACTTGGTAACAAGAGTACATGTATGTGTATTAAATGTCAATCTTCTTCACTTATTTAAAAAGCACTATTCAAGATTACATGCTTCTTGAAGAGTACAAATAGGCTTTACAAATATAACAGTTCACTGAATTTCTTTTCTCAGAGTTTTGTTTCTCTCGGTTTGAATACACTTCTGTGTATTTATTGTTGTTATGTCAGGAAAGCAAGAGATATAAAACAGTCGTTATACAATGTTCACGTTTTGAAGTATTGACTACATTATATAAGTGTCAAACACGTATCATACCCTTGTTACCTTTAATGGTGCGACTGTTAATAATAAAAGTTGACTGGATTTAAGTTTTATGATATAAAGAAATTACAGAAATTAGTACAGAACATCATTACTTGTTTCATAAGGTGGTTGAATGACAATTTACATTTATTATACTTCACGTAAAAATGCCATATTTTGATTGGCTAATACGAGGGTGTTAATTTACTCTATCACATGGCTGAGCGGGTGACAATTTTTTTGAATGTCACCCTCTCGTCCAGACCAATCAAAAATCGATAATTTAAAGGACAATGAATAGAAATTACATCAAGTTATTAAAGACAATGCTTAAGTTCTACGTTTTGGCTCAGATTCTATCATTTGACTGTCAAAATAAAAAAATAAAACATCTTGCTTCACTTCTTATCCCCGTTACGTTGTTATGTATGTGACGTCATAGAAAATACTTTTGAATAAAATTCATCTGTAAAAGACAATAATGATAGGACATTCAGTATAATAAATTGAATAACACATAGCTGAGAGGGTGATAGAGCAGATTGTTACCCCTCGAAACGACATTGTCAACCTTGGATTCGCCGCGGTTGACAATGTTTTCTCGGGTACCAATCTGCTCTATCACCCTCTCAGCTATTTGTTATTTATATAATATGAAATGACCTCTTAGCTTATTAGTTGCATATTATATTTTTTTTCGACACATCTGGCTATTGTGCGAGTTAAATAAGTAAACTTACAATACTTCAGTCCGTCTTAACCCCATTTGCATAAGATACATGCAATATTGAGACGATAACTGAATAAGGAAAGGAATAAAATAGAAATACATGAATATAGGCGCTGAATGTTTTCCCAACTAAAACAGACAAGATACAACCACAAACTATTGTGATGGATGCCCACGTTGCTTATATATGATAGACTTGATCAATCATATAACAGATACTATAAGAATCTTTCCAATTTTATTTTACCCATCGACTTTACCTTCAACATTAATACACTGTGTAATACAAGCAACTTTTGAAAATCTAAAGGTTTTTTATCAATAAATAGAGAAAAGTACTTAACATATGAAATATTAATCTTAAGTTAAAATGTATACCCTAAGTGACTAGCTACATTCCTGAATAATTGAAAAAGGTGAAAGTTTCCATTCATTGTTAAGTATTCTTTCATTCCTCGTGCGTATCCAATAATTTACATGAAAAACACACATATGAATATTACCATATTTATTATTGACAATGTAAAAACAATTGTCATTAAGATGACAAATGAAACATTATCGCTTTTTATAAACTCATCATAGACACCAGGATTACAATTTTGTATGCCAGACGCGCGTTTCGTCTACAAAAGACTCATCAGTGGCGCTGGAATAAAAAACATTGAAAAGGCAAAATAAAGTACGAAATTGAAGAGCATTGGAGACCCATTTAAATAATAAAGACATTTAAATTAATGTTTGTTTTCCTTCAAAAATTAACAAAAACACTTACCAATTTTGGAAAAGAACTATGCGTACCACGTTTTTCTCGTTGTAAAAGTTCAGCAGTGATATTATATTTTCCATCAGAAACTGTTTTTATTTCACTATGTTCGCTAATTTCTGTCTGTCTGCTAAACAACAAATATAAACAAAAAGTACATAAACTTATATTTATAACTAAAAATGTATAAATTATTTTTAAATGTAATTTTAGATTATGCTCCGATTTTGATACCTCCATTTTCTGAAGCACTATATGTTTACATATAAAAGCTGTGTTAAATAAATTACTTCCCACAAATAAAGAGTTATCAGTAGATCCAGAACTTTTAATATTTTATAAAAGCTACGACTATATTCAACTACGATCCAGACAAATAACTGCCGCTTTAGTAAGAAAATATAAAAAAGTAATTCCTAAAACACGTGGTGATAACATTATTAGGTCTATCGATCACAAGCATACACCGGAGCTAAAGATTTTATGGAATCGAGGTAAATAGCGTGAGAAACGGAATCTTTCCTATATTTGTTCTTCATTGGAGATATTGACTTCTACGGGGACTTTTGTGTGTAATAAATGGAATATAATTGAAAATCTTGTTCAGCCAAGCACACTCTAGACCAATGAGATCGTTCATACGTAGTAATTAGGCGTAACGTTTCCAATGTATTCTGTCAGCAAGTTGTCGGATATGTCAATTTATAGTAAAAAAGTAGTATTTTTTCGATCCTAGTTTCGATTCTATTCCAGTGAGAATGTAATCTTTGTAACAGTGATTACTTTCTGTTAGGGAAATGGAGAAACGCTTTTCCTTAGACTTTATTTGGCGTTATTAAATGATTAATTTATCAATCAATGATATAGGTTAAAAATTTCATTTATCAATTAATTCAAACAATCTATGTTATGGTGTGTTTAACAGGAATCATGTTGCTAATTCATTTTGTAGACCAATTATCCCAATTTTTGACTAATATTAATCTGAAAGGTGTGGAAAATTTGTTTTATGAAAAGGTTGTGTATAATCACTTTAGGAGAATAGATCAAATAATTTAGTACAGAAATATTCAAATAAAAAGACATGAGAAATATTTGTCACTTAAAAGTTAAGTGTCTGTACCAAACAAGGCTCTCTGCACATCATAAATAATATGACGGCCATTTTCCATCAGTTTATATGTTGAGTTTTCCAGTTCTGTAAATGATTTTGGACTTTCGATTCGTTCATAACACATTTAAGGTTATGGTATTTCCTATCTCTATTCTTCATGGGAACATGTTATACCATTAATATAATAACTTTATATTGTTTCGCTGTGTCCTTATGAAGTTTATAACCTTACAGTGGTTCATTTCTACCTTTAATTTTTAAGAATTTTATAAGCCTAAAAGGAATTCTTATCCTTTATGAATTGGAAAAAAACATATCGATCTGCGAAAAATCCTTTGAAGTATCGATGAGTATTGATGCAACAATAATAAAAATTACTAAAAATAAATTCTAGCAAAAGAATATAACCGTGAACTCTTCAAAGTTGAATGTATACAAGGGCTTTCCAAAAGAAACTGCTACCCACCATTTTTATCGCGTACTTGTAAACAGCTCTGCAGTTAAACGTAAGGTGACAGTCAAAACAAAAACACAGAAAATTTGTGTTACAAAATACACCACCGTACAATTTGTAGTACACAGAAATATCATGCTTTAGACAGGCGTGCAAATCTAAATGAATAATTTAGCTTTGAGCATTCCTGATGAAGGTAAATCCAGAAAAGAACTTTGGACTCATGCAATTAATAAAGTGTTGTTTTTAATTTTTTTAGCGTTATAGTTAAAATGACGTTTTGCAGTGTTTGACTTTTGTGTTGATTATGTTTTTCTAAAAATGGCTATTCTGTATATGCACTTCTTTGTTTTGGATTTGGTGCTCTCATTTCTTTTTACAAGGATGGCTCAAGTATATCTGATGAAGGTTGTTCCAAATTATTGACATATGAACTCAACTCGCGTTCACTGTGTTATCGTTTTTATTCTATTCTCTAGAGAACAATCCTCGCCCAAAAAGACACATCAGGTCTAATTTGTGTTTACCAACTTGCTGACAAGAAATAATTTTCGTAGGCTCTCATTCATAGTTCTGATTAACCGATTTATTCCTAAAACGTAACACTTATACCAGTATGCTCAACACTTATACCAGTATGCTCAACATTTATACCAGTATGCTCATAATTTATCATAGAAGATAATGCAGAACGCAGAAAATTTGATATTTTCGGATTTTCTCAACTGACCGTACGACAAAATATCGTGATTGCGGTAGTCAGTCGATAGAAATGTATTACAAAATTATTAGGATGTTACCTGAACTGTTATACTTAAATATATTAGCATTTAAGTACGGAAATGGAGAATTATTACATGCCTATCTAAATTGGTGGAAATATGGTCGAAAGGGTCTAGTAGCGTTTATATTGAATGGTTTTGAGTGTGTAAAGGTAGATTTATTTTTCCGCAATGTAAACATATCCTATTTGGGTAAGTTTCAGATAACGATTATCATATCCAACCAACCAAGCAATTGGTATCGAGTAACAATCAAAACTGTCCATCCTTCAGTCAATCCATCAAATTTTAATATCCTTATATTTGATACTTTTTTTTCACTTGTTCCGAATATACATAAAATATATACAAATTAACTTTAGACAAATATGAAACGGTAAACTTCCGTACACCGAATGTGTACGTACCATGAGCAACACGGCAGATGCTACATGTTGAACATCACATGGTTACTCTTACGGAGCACCTGATATCAGTTTTAAGATTTTATGAAGATTAAGTGTGTTGTAGACTGTTGATGGTGTTTTCGTCATTTACGTATTTGCCATGATTTTGTCGGTCTCTCTTTGACTACTGAGTTCTGATTCTCGTTTTGGAATCTTTTGTCTATTTTTCTTCTTCAATAATTCATCTATATGTAAACATATGCTGTCATCTTATTAGTTTTTAGTTTCCATATATGTTCATGTATTATATTTTTATGGTTTTGTTATCTGCTATACTATTATTTTAGAGTTAAGTGTTATTCCGATAGAGTTAAGTGTTATTCTTGTAGAATTAAGTGTTATTCCTGTAGAGTTAAGTGCTATTCCTGTAGAGTTAAGTGCTATTCCTGTAGAATCAAGTGTTATACCTGTAGAATCAAGTGTTATTCCTGTAGAATTAAGTGTTATTCCTGTAGAATCAAGTGTTATATCTGTAGAATCAAGTGTTATACCTGTAGAATCAAGTGTTATACTTGTAGAATTAAGTGTTATTCCTGTAGAATCAAGTGTTATACCTGTAGAATCAAGTGTTACACCCGTAGAATCAATTGTTATACCTGTAGAATTAAGTGTTATACCTGTAGAATCAAGTGTTATTCCTGTAGAATCCAGTGTTATTCTTGTAGAGTAAAGTGATATTCCTGTAAAGTAAAGTCTTATTCCTGTAGAATCAAGTGCTATTCCTGTAGAATCAAGTGTTATACCTGTAAAATTAAGTGTTATACATGTAGAATCAAGTGTTATACCTGTAGAATTAAGTGTTATACATGTAGAATCAAGTGTTATACCTGTAGAATCAAGTGTTATACCTGTAGAATCAAGTGTTATACTTGTAGAATTAAGTGTTATTCCTGTAGAATCAAGTGTTATACCTGTAGAATCAAGTGTTACACCCGTAGAATCAATTGTTATACCTGTAGAATTAAGTGTTATACCTGTAGAATCAAGTGTTATTCTTGTAGAGTAAAGTGATATTCCTGTAAAGTAAAGTCTTATTCCTGTAGAATCAAGTGTTATTCCTGTAGAATTAAGTGTTATTCCTGTACTGTTTTTGTTTGGTTGTTATTTGTTATACTTTTGAGTCAGAGTTAAGTGATATTCCTGTACTGATATTGCTTGATCGTTCTTCTGTTATACTATTATTTTAGAGTTGATCGTTACTCGATGGATTTTGTTTGGTTGTTCTTCTGTTATATTATTATTTTAGAGTTGATCGTTACTCGATGGATTTTGTTTGGTTGTTCTTCTGTTATATTATAATTTTAGTATTGATCGTTACTCGATGGATTTTGTTTGGTTGTTCTTCTGTTATTTTATTATTTTAGAGTTAATCGTTACTCGATGGATTTTGTTTGGTTGTTCTTCTGTCATTTTATTATTCTAGAGTTGATCGTTACTCGATGGATTTTGTTTGGTTGTTCTTCTGTTATTTTTTAATTTTAGTGTTGATCGTTACTCGATGGCTTTTGTTTGTTTGTTGTTCTGTTATTTTATAATTTTAGAGTTGATCGTTACTCGATGGATTTTGTTTGGTTGTTCTTCTGTTATTTTATAATTTTAGAGTTGATCGTTACTCGATGGATTTTGTTTGGTTGTTCTTCTGTTATTTTATAATTTTAGAGTTGATCGTTACTCGATGGACTTTGTTTGGTTGTTCTTCTGTTATTTTATAATTTTAGGGTTGATCGTTACTCGATGGATTTTGTTTGGATGTTCTTCTGTTATTTTATAATTTTAGAGTTGATCGTTATTGGATGGATTTTGTTTGATTGTTCTTCTGTTATTTTATAATTTTAGGGTTGCTCGTTACTCGATGGATTTTGTTTGGATGTTCTTCTGTTATTTTATAATTTTAGAGTTGATCGTTACTCGATGAATTTTGTTTGGATGTTCTTCTGTTATACTATAATTTTAGAGTTGATCGTTACTCGAAGGATTTTGTTTGGATGTTCTTCTGTTATATTAGAATTTTAGAGTTGATCGTTACTCGATGGATTTTGTTTGGTCGTTCTTCTGTTATATTATAATTTTAGTGTTGATCGTTACTCGTTGGATTATGTTTTGATGTTCTTCTGTTATACTATAATTTTAGAGTTGATCGTTACTCGTTGGACTTTTTATGGTTGTTCCTCTGTTATATTATAATTTTAGAGTTGATCGTTACTCGTTGGACTTTGTTTGGTTGTTCCTCTATTATACTATAATTTATGAGTTGATCGTTACTCGTTAGATTTTGTTTGGATGTTCTTCTGCTATACTATAATTTTAGTGTTGATCGTTACTCGTTGGATTATGTTTTGATGTTCTTCTGCTATACTATAATTTTAGAGTTGATCGTTACTCGATGGATTTTGTTTGGATGTTCTTCTGTTATACTATAATTTAAGTGTTGATCGTTACTCGTTTGATTTTGTTTGGTTGTTCTTCTGTTATTTTATAATTTTAGAGTTGATCGTTACTCGTTGGATTTTGTTTGGTTGTTCTTCTGTTGTTTTATAATTTAAGAGTTGATCGTTACTCGTTGGATTTTGTTTGGTTGTTCTTCTGTTATTTTATAATTTTAGAGTTGATCGTTACTCGTTGGATTTTGTTTGGTTGTTCTTTTGTTATTTTATAATTTTAGAGTTGATCGTTACTCGATGGATTATGTTTTGATGTTCTTCTGTTGTACTATAATTTTAGGGTTGATCGTTAATCGATGGATTTTGTTTGGTTGTTCTTCTGTTATACTATAATTTTAGTGTTGATCGTTACTCGTTTGATTTTGTTTGGTTGTTCTTCTGTTATATTATAATTTTAGAGTTGAGCGTTACTCGTTGGATTTTGTTTGGTTGTTCTTCTGTTATTTTATAATTTTAGTGTTGATCGTTACTCGATGGATTTTGTTTGGTTGTTCTTCTGTTATATTATAGATTTAGAGTTGATCGTTACTCGATGGATTTTGTTTGGTTGTTCTTCTGTTATTTTATAATTTTAGAGTTGATCGTTACTCGTTGGATTTTGTTTGGTTGTTCTTCTGTTATTTTATAATTTTAGAGTTGATCGTTACTCGTTGGAGTTTGTTTGGTTGTTCTTCTGTTATTTTATATATTTAGAGTTGATCGTTACTCGATGGATTTTGTTTGGTTGTTCTTCTGTTATTTTATAATTTTAGAGTTGATCGTTACTCGATGGATTTTGTTTGGTTGTTCTTCTGTTATTTTATAATTTTAGAGTTGATCGTTACTCGTTGGATTTTGTTTGGTTGTTCTTCTGTTATTTTATAATTTTAGAGTTGATCGTTACTCGTTGGAATTTGTTTGGTTGTTCTTGTGTTATTTTATAATTTTAGAGTTGATCGTTACTCGATGGATTTTGTTTGGTTGTTCTTCTGTTATATTATAATTTTAGAGTTGATCGTTACTCGATGAATTTTGTTTGGATGTTCTTCTGTTATACTATAATTTTAGAGTTGATCGTTACTCGAAGGATTTTGTTTGGATGTTCTTCTGTTATATTAGAATTTTAGAGTTGATCGTTACTCGATGGATTTTGTTTGGTCGTTCTTCTGTTATATTATAATTTTAGTGTTGATCGTTACTCGTTGGATTATGTTTTGATGTTCTTCTGTTATACTATAATTTTAGAGTTGATCGTTACTCGATGGATTTTGTTTGGTTGTTCTTCTGTTATTTTATAATTTTAGAGTTGATCGTTACTCGTTGGATTTTGTTTGGATGTTCTTCTGTTATTTTATAATTTTAGAGTTGATCGTTACTCGATGGATTTTGTTTGGTTGTTCTTCTGTTATATTATAAATTTAGAGTTGATCGTTACTCGATGGTTATTTTATAATTTTAGGGTTGATCGTTACTCGATGGATTTGGTTTGGATGTTCTTCTGTTATTTTATAATTTTAGAGTTGATCGTTACTCGATGGATTTTGTTTGGATGTTCTTCTGTTTTATTATAATTTTAGAGTTGATCGTTTCTCGATGGATTTTGTTTGGTTGTTCTTCTGTTATTTTATAATATAGAGTTGATCGTTACTCGATGGATTTTGTTTGGTTGTTCTTCTGTTATTTTATAATTTTAGAGTTGATTGTTACTCGATGGATTTTGTTTGGTTGTTCTTTTGTTATTTTATAATTTTAGTGTTGATCGTTACTCGATGGATTTTGTTTGGTTGTTCTTCTGTTATTTTATAATTTTAGAGTTGATCGTTACTCGATGGATTATGTTTTGATGTTCTTCTGCTATACTATAATTTTAGAGTTGATCGTTACTCGATGGATTTTGTTTGGATGTTCTTCTGTTATACTATAATTTTAGTGTTGATCGTTACTTGATGGATTTTGTTTGGTTGTTCTTTTGTTATATTATAATTTTAGAGTTGATCGTTACTCGATGGATTATGTTTGGTTGTTCTTCTGTTATTTTATAATTTTAGTGTTGATCGTTACTCGATGGATTTTGTTTGGTTGTTCTTCTGTTATATTATATATTTAGAGTTGATCGTTACTCGATGGATTTTGTTTGGTTGTTCTTCTGTTATTTTATAATTTTAGATTACTCGATGGATTTTGTTTGGTTGTTCTTCTGTTGTTTTATAATTTTAGTGTTGACGTTACTCGATGGATTTTGTTTGGTTGTTCTTCTGTTATTTTATAATTTTAGAGTTGATCGTTACTCGATGGATTTTGTTTGGTTGTTCTTCTGTTATTTTATAATTTCAGAGTTGATCGTTACTCGTTGGATTTTGTTTGGTTTTTCTTCTGTTATTTTATAATTTTAGAGTTGATCGATGCTCGATGGATTTTGTTTGGTTGTTCTTCTGTTATTTTATAATTTTAGAGTTGATCGTTACTCGATGGATTTTGTTTGGTTGTTCTTCTGTTATTTTATAATTTTAGAGTTGATCGTTACTCGTTGGATTTTGTTTGGTTGTTCTTCTGATATTTTATAATTTTAGAGTTGATCGTTAATCGTTGGATTTTGTTTGGTTGTTCTTCTGTTATTTTATAATTTTAGAGTTGATCGTTACTCGTTGGATTTTGTTTTGTTGTTCTTCTGTTATTTTATAATTTTAGAGTTGAGCGTTACTCGTTGGAGTTTGTATGGATGTTCTTCTGTTATTTTATAATTTTAGTGTTGATCGTTACTCGATGGATTTTGTTTGGTTGTTTTTCTGTTATACTATTATTTCAGAGTTAAGTGTTTTCCTGTTGAATTAAGTGTTATTCCTGTAGAGTTAAGTGTTATTCCTGTAGAGTTAAGTGTTATTCTTGTAGGGTTAAGTATTATTCCTGTAGAGTTAATTGTTATTCCTGTTGAATTAAGTGCTATTCCTGTAGAAGTAAGTGATATTCCCGTAAAGTTAAGTGTTATACCTGTAGAGTTAAGTGCTATTCCTGTTGAATTAAGTGTAATTCCTGTAGAGTTAAGTGTTATTCTTGTAGTGTTAAGTGTTATTCCTGTAGAGTTAAGTGTTTTATTCCTGTAGAGTTAATTGTTATTCCTGTAGTGTTTAGTGTTATTCTTGAAGAGTTTAGTGTTATTCCTGATTTTGTTTGTTTTGTCCTACATGTAGGTTTTTTTAGTCAGCCGATCTAGACTAAATGTTGGAAAGTTAATACATGTATATTCAAATCTTAGCTTAACCCCATCACATATTTATAGATCTGACCAAAGTTCAGAACCTCGTCAGTGGTTGTTTTATGTCACACCTTAATGTTTTTCTTTTTTATGAACTTGGGTGTTGATGGCAGATCTTTGATTGTTTCTGCTTAATGTATTCACAATTTTATAGACTTAGTCGATTGAGAGGTTGACATATTGTACAGACGTCTGTCCATTGCTAAAGACTGTTAAACGCTCTCTGGGTCTCTGTTGGTTAATTTTGTCGTTAGATTATTGGGCTCTTGTGTTCTTACATATACGTTGTTAAATAATTCTGTCAATATATCGAGTAAATAATCTTCGTGACATATCTAAACAGTAGCATCCCAATTTCGGTTGAACTTTTATTTACGATGCCATTATCATATAAGATATTCAATCCAGTTTGTCAGTCTAGCCTATATATGTACAATTCTTATTAGTTCACAAGTCATAAAACTAAAAATTATTACGAAAATATTGAACATTTGGTTACATATCGATTCATGCTTATTAAAGATGGTGATTTAAGACAGAGCCTTTAATGATTTTTAGATTTTCAGGTAATCCGAGTATAGAAAGCTTCCGTGAGTTGTTCTATAGCAGGTCTTCAATTATTACGCTACAATTCATTTATACAGTGCTGGTTTTCCTGTATTATGGATATACATCTTCAATAAAACGGGCATGAATTTTTCATCAATAACCAAAGATTCAAAAATGTCATGATCATCTCAACTTTCTGAATAGTGAATCAGCAAATTATACAGAATTGTTTTAAGGGTTTTTATTACAGATATTTATTAAAGGTTTTTAATTTTGTTTGTAAAATATTACATGTTCAACTTAGTGATATACAATAAATCACGAAACCCATTAAACTAGATATATCATTAAAAGCTTTGGTAAACTGAACGATTTTTTTAGATAGTAAAAAAATAATGCTAAAAATTTTATTTCAAACCACTTATATTTACATTTCACTTCGTTATATTTAATTTAGCTTAGAATGGCGGAAATGGTAAAAGTTGATGGACAACAAAAAATAAAAGCTGCACAAAATCTAACAAATAGCTTTTGTAATATTTGTTTTTAATTACATTAAATTCCTTAGAGTTTCACAAATTATCAAAGCGTTGATGGAGCAACAATATTTCTATAAAATTGAATTACTAAGATAAAATAGCTAGGTCAGTGTTTGAGGGAAACCTCTAAAATGTTTTAATAAGGAAATACAGATCTTGGGGAATTAAAGTTTAACTGAAATGTTTTCATCAAATTATTTAATGTAGGTGATGAAAACCTCCATCTGTTAATTAAATTAAATGCAACGTATGATGAAAATTGTACTCTTTACTTCTGAAATCCTAGATATTTCATGAAATACGATTTCATATTGCATATATAGTTATCTGTACAAGCAGTGTGAAACTGACTTATCTTATGGTCTGAATATTAGTAATGCGAACTATGTTTTCTCGGGGTAGGCTACATCGTATGGCACAAAATTGTAAAATGATACTTTCAGCCTATAGCTCACAAGAAAATGTGTGTACTTTTTTACAAAATCAAAAAAAGAAACTAACATAAAAATAATTAGATGTGGAATACTTACCAATCAGATAACTATCAACCAAAGTCCAAATCGCGTAGATGTTAGCACCTATAGTTAGGAAACTAATGTTCCAAAGTTGAGGGGCCTCGGTGGCCGAGTGGTCTAAGTAGTTACTACTGTAATCACTAGCCAGTCAACACTGAGGTTGTGAGTTCGAACCCCGCTCGTGCGGGTGCACTCGACTCCAATCTTAATTGACTAGGATTGTCAGTTTTCCTATCGAAGGTCGGTGGTTTTCTCCGGGCGCTCCGGCTTCCTCCACCAATAAAAACTGGCCGCCACGAAATAGCCCAAAAGCGGTGCTTAAAAGTGGCGTTAAAACACCAAAAATCAATCAATCAATCCAAAGTTGACCTTGGATGAATTTAGTTATTCTAATTAAGTCCTTTTTGGTCATGTAGCTCATAACGTTTGTACGTATTTATACATCCCTGGCTTTCATATGTTTAGATTTGAGCGTTCCTGATAAAGGCGAATCCACAAAAGCGCTCCGGCCGAACAAAACCTATAAAGTGTTTAATTCATTTCATATAGGTCACCGTACGGCCTTCAACGATGAGCAAAACCCATAACATATAGTCCGCTATATAAGGTCCCAGACATGATAAAATGCTAAACAATTCAAACAAGAAAACAAATTGTCTGATTTATGACAAAACAATAAACGAAAAAACAACGGACAGCCACCCAACGATAACAACTGAATAACAGGCTTGGAATAGGCATAACAAGAACGTGGGTTAAACTTGTTTATGAGCGCTTAACCCCCTAACCTAGTAAGGTACATGTAGCACAACATTAGATAAAATTAGATTTAATTTGTTTGACTCATCAGAATGGCACCAAGCACAAAAAAAAAATAAAGATAAAGACAAAATACTCAAAGCACCAATCTAAGAGTTACTGAAAGCTAGTTCAAAGCCAATTACAACTTATTAATAAATCATATTTCCCAGACTAAAATACCAATCAGTACACATCCAATGGATTTAGTTAAAGACGTCAATTACAGTCCAAGGAGAGCATGACCATTTGCAATGCTAATATATAGTCATATTATCGACAGTATAGGACAATACGTTTTCATAATTGAATAGCAATATATTTTTAGTCAATAAGTTTAAATGTATCAATGGCAAAATCAATGTTAGTACCGATATAAACAATATTCAAAGATCTTACTACGGTATTAAATTGACAACCGTTATTCTTTTCTCATTTTTTTTTACATGGATCGTATCTAAATTTACTGCCTCTATAGACAACACCACCGTAAAAATAATGATGTGTAATAAAAATTCTATATGCACAGCCAAACTTACAAAACAAAACCTTGTATATATAAAAGAATTCAATAAAAGTTTAAAAGTATTTTTTGGAAATCCCTGACATAATAATTAACAGATATACAAAGACTTCATTCATTGAAACATAAAAAGTTACCAGAGACAGTTCTTACCAGTTTGTACATAAACAACAATCATAACCCCAAATGATCGCCAAACATTAAATGTCCAAGGTGTTTTATCGACCCCTTTGTTATAAATAAATAATAACATAACATATAAAAAGAAGATTTGGTATGATTGCCAATGAGACAACTCTCCACAAGAGACCAAATGACACAGAAATTAACACCTATAGGCCTCCGTACGGACTTCAAGAATGAGCAAAGCCCATACCGCACAGTCAGCTATAAATGGCCCCGAAATAACATGTATGGTTCATAAGAATCCGTAATTTTGATTGGCAGACATGAAACTTTTCCAATAAAATACAACATTCATATCTACGCGTGCTTTCCATGACAACGTCACAGCAATACATAGGAAAACACAAACAATAAAATACAACATTCATAGCAATACATAGGAAAACACAAACAATAAAATACAACATTCATATCTATGCGTGCTTTCCATGACAACGTCACAGCAATACATAGGAAAACACAAACAATAAAATACAACATTCATAGCAATGCATAGGAAAACACAAACAATAAAATACAACATTCATAGCAATACATAGGAAAACACACACAATAAAATACAACATTCATAGCAATACATAGGAAAACACAAACAATAAAATACAACATTCATAGCAATACATAGGAAAACACAAACAATAAAATATAACATTCATAGCAATACATAGGAAAACACAAACAATAAAATACAACATTCATAGCAATACATAGGAAAACACAAACAATAAAATACAACATTCATATCTATGCGTGCTTTCCATGACAACGTCACAGCAATACATAGGAAAACACAAACAATAAAATACAACATTCAAATCTATGCGTGCTTTCCATGACAATGTCACAGCAATACATAGGAAAACACAAACAATAAAATACAACATTCATATCTATGCGTGCTTTCCATGACAACGTCACAGCAAAACATAGGAAATCACACAAAATGCTTGATATAAGTTGTAATTTCATGATTATTGCATAAACATGTAATTATAAGAATTGAATGCTTCTTTTTGTATATTTAAATGTTGATCGTGTGCACATTTTTAGTTTAGCGCCATATACCAAATTTGCTTCGGACAACGCTTTTACACCTGGATTTTGAAATATTTACAGTCCGTCATAATATAGCTAAGATCGCTAAAAGCAATAACAAAAAAACTTCAAGCAAAACTTTTCTTATACACAAATAGATACTGAAAATTCCCTGAAAGTCTTGTTTAGTCAAGTCCGGGAACCAGTTGCAGATGTTTTTCCCCATTTTACGTATTGATCAAAGTTTTATGTTTATTTGGAGAAAAAATAATAAAGTGATTTAATCAAATCGATATTTGCTAGAATAATACTTTTAAAAAGTTCAATATGTTTTATATACTTGAATGCATAAGTTTTACTCTAAAACAAGTGTATGTACACTTTCTTGTAAAAGAAAATCCTCTATATTATCAAATTCTTCATAAATATACTGCTATTGAATTATTGTCTTCCCTTTCACTAATTCGCCGATATTTTCCCGTATGCAGTAACCTTAACTACGAGACCTCTCGTATGACTTCGTTCACCACACAGCGCAAGTGCTAGGGGAAAACCGTGATGAAAGAATGTAAACAAACGTGCACTGGAAGGTAACTTGATACAACAAATCATTTAACAAATGTTAAGGAAAAGTTTTCTTAAATCAATTAACAAATGGCAACGCATGGAAAATATAATAAAATATTATCATGGCTCTATCAGT